TACATTATTAAGAAGCCTCAGAATATTCTGATGACACATGATTGTGTTATAGCTGTTTCCTGTGCCATCCAGCATTTGAGACAGCAGGGAAAGGATTCAGATTGCCTGTGGGGATTTTCTGCCCTTTCCTCCCTATGAGGTGAGTGGAGAGAAGCAGGACTGAGGCTTCCTGATGGGGTGTCCTGCTTTCTCCTTTGCTGACTGCAGGGTGGAGCCACATCTGGCCAGGTATTGAGCAAGTCATTCTGTCTTGAATGTGCATGCCAGCACAGATGTGCAAAGCCACCTTAGGTCCTGTAATACAGGATCGGGATATAGGCATCTAAAATTATGTTGTCACCTTCTGGGGAATGCGAACCCAAAGATGTTATCCCAGAAGTAGATTTAGACTAGATATAAGGAAGAAATTTTTCACAATGAAGGCGGTGAAACAGTGGAACAGGTTGCCCAGAGAGGAGGTAGATGCCCCATCCCTGGAACATTCCAGGTCCAGTTGGATGAGGCTCTGAGCAACCTGCTCTAGTTGAGAGATGTCCCTGCTCCCTGCAGGGGTGTTGGACTAGATGGCCTTTAAAGGTCCCTTCCAACCCAAATGATTGTATGGTTCTGTGGTTCTATGGCTCTATGAGGTGTGCCCCTTCCTCTTCACCATTCCCACTCCTCCAGATTAGCTGAGTTGAGGGATTATACATTGTCAAATTCTACCTGCTGCCAAAACTGCTCAAAAATTGAAAGGCAGACAATTCTCAAGTCATCACTACTGTAAGGGGAAAAATATAACCTATTTTTACAGTCCGGTAGTGTTTCTTATCAAAGGTAGCAAGGCTTGTTTTGTAATAATGCTATGGGAAGGACATTATTGCATGCTAAGGGCAAAGTCTGGTGGATCTGAAAGCTTGGTTAAGCAATAGGAAAAAGATGATAATGAACAACCACTCATCAAGACTCCAGGGAGATTAATCTGGATGTGAGCCCAAGGCGCCAGTATCAAAATCAGTGTACACATTTTAGCTAACGATCTGGAAGAGAAAACATAGGGTGCTTTGGCGTGATTTCTGTTGACATCAGGAACCTGGCTTTGTAAGGTCCTGATCAGGGGGCAAAGGGGGAAACATGCGACATCTGCTTATCTCCTGCGAAACCAGAACGCCTTTTAGCCATGCGTAAACTTGCTGATGCCAGTGAACCTCTGACGCACTAGAAGCAAGGCAGTCCCGGAACCTCTGGTGCTTTGCTGAATCAGGAGCTGGGTGCGTGGCCTCTGTCACTCATTGGGTTTGTGCTGGGGAAGGAAAAAAAAACAAAACCAAACATTTCAACTTCTGGCACCTTCTGGACTTTGCAGGAGGTTGGCTGGAACTGAGGGCCTGCAAGCAGCGTGCTGCGGGGAGACTGTGCGTTGCCTGCTGGGGCTGCATGCTCTACACGGAGCTGCGGAGCAAGTGGGGTACATGTCTCCAGCATCTGCGGCACCCCCGGCTCCCACCTGTAGCTGTGGGTGAGGTATAGAGTGCACGTATATGTATTGCTGCCTGGAAAAACCTGAGGGCAAATGTGCTAGTCCTGTCTCTGGGGGCTGCAGGACCATAAAGGCGGATGGGGAAAGGAAAACAACAATGGGTGTTTTTGTTGTTGGTTTTGTTTTCTGTAGCAGCTTGTTAACATCCCTGGTGTACCTTGGTTCTGGGTTGTTTCTCCCAACAAACCTGACGTACTGATACATGTCAGAGTGGTACATTTCCATAATTGCAAAAGGCTTGAAGTTTACACCATCTGATCCACCTCCCTGGCATTACAGATGAAAAAACATTGTTAAGAAGGGGAAAAAAAAACATTGTTAAGAAAGGGAAACTCAGCACACAAGGCTGTCACTTGTATATTTACTGCCACACCCCCAGAGTCTGGCTGTTTTTCACTTCTCCACTTTTAGGTAAAGTACCTACACACACTATTAGTTACTCTATCTTCTTAAAATTAAGGGAGATGCAGGGCATGCCCAAGGGGAATCAAGCCCACTGAAGTTTTACAGGACTGTTTTATCATGGCACAGCCTGTCCTGACTGATAACCACCATTCTCTTACAAACCAGCTAGTAAAAGCCTGTTGTCCCATTGCTTCAGTGCTGGAAGAGAAGCTTTCATTTAGCCTATGGAAGAAGTTGTTTGTTAAACAGAGACTTGATGATGGATGTCTTTTTTTACATAAAGCTAAAACTGATGCTGAATTTTCACATTCTTTGCTGTTCAGCTGTAAACAGGTATTTTAGAGGGTAGAACATGCACCGATGAAGGATTCTCAATTCTCATCTCTGAAGATGGGTGCTGCCCTAATTAGAAAGAATGAGGTGATGCACTGATTTTAGGCACTGGGTAAACTCTCAGCAGATGCAGCATTAAGCGTAATTAGACGTTTCAGTGTTTCTCTTCCCTGCTACATTTCTTTGACACAGTAGGAAAATTGCTTTGCTCAACTCCATTTGACAGGACTTTAAAGAAGGCCCTTGCTTGCACTAAGCTTCATAGAAGAAGAAAATAAAGATACTAGACAACCGTTTAGAAGATTTTATTATAAAATTATTTCAACATCTACATCCAAGTAAAAGGCTTAAAACTACAGCTCTACTTTCAGGAATAAAAATTCAGTAAATGCTGAAAGAGGTACTGTATTATCTAGGTAGATAGCCCTTAAGTAATTTTTAATACTAGAGAGATTCCGCGTGGGTTCCTTAAGTGCTATACACACTCCTGTCTGCACAGTCAATATGTTCTGCGGCTTCCCTCCGCAAGCAACATTACAGACATATTTACAGCACCCATGTGCTTCAGCTGCTTTGAGAGAGAAGTTACAGCTCCTACCTGGAGCAGCTGCAGCTCTGCTACCGATGTACAGTATACCATGAGATGGTACCTCACATTCAAGCATTACCAGGAGCAGGAGAAAGTATCATTTGTGTTTACTTGACAACAATGCCTACCTAGGTTTTTTCTTGTAACCTTGTATTCAATACAAAAATCAACAAATATTCAAGTATATTATGGCAGTGAAGGCAGCTTTTTAACACCTGTATATTCTAGACAAAGATATTTCATTTTTATTATCCATTTCATTCACTGAGCTGAGCTCAGATACATGATCTGGTGACCTTTGGTGACTGCAGCTTATTCACTGGGATAAAAACAGCCTTGATGCAGTACTGAAGCCATTACGCTCAGTAATTACCACATGTACTTCTAAATTTAGTTCTTAAAATAAATGAAGCATATCAGAAAACTCTTACATTTTTGACTGGAGAATCTATCCCAAGAGGATTTCTGGAACACAAAGGTAGTTCCAGCTTTCTCTCATTCCTATTAAAAAGGTATTTTATATTCACAGCAGAGTATGGAGTGGCTTTCTACCCAACAAATACAGATCTGTTTTAGAAAACTGTCATACAACTGAGCAGGATGCTTTAAATATTGTACTTGCAACTTCTTGCAAAAAGATCATACACACTTCAGATTTAGTAAAAAAAATTCAAGTAATATTATACAGCCCTGATGAACTTTTACTGGCCAGTTTGGCCATGTCCAATAGTTTAACTTCTATTCTGTTGTTAAGTTTACCTTGCTTACAAGGGGGAAAATGCAGAAGGCAGACAGGAAAGGAAGAAGCTTATTAAGAATGGAGTATTTTCCCAACAGCTCTGTCCCACTGGGTCTGTTCCTGTGACAATTCCCCATTATTTTGCTGTTCATAAAAGTTATTCTGTAGTTTTCAGTAGTGTTCATCTTTTGACACTTCTCATTTCCTAAGCCCTTTCCACTGCAATGATGGTTCTTAGAATAAAATTCTAGTTCCAACACCACTCTTCCTGACAACTTTTCAGACAGACCTTCACTGCTCATCACAACTTTCAAGGTGTAGTATCCCCATGTACCTCTTTGAGCTAGTGTGGTCCAATACAAATTTGACACAGATGATCAATAGGCAGATTTTGGTTTAGTGTACTGAGCCACTAATTTTCTAATAGTGTGACAAAAAGGAACCACAAGACCACGTTTTAAATGTGCCATTCCCCACATCATGCTTACATAATGCATACAGATCACCAAAACCTTTCTGTTCAACTTGCATGTCTGACTTCAGTTCTTGGAAAATCCTAACCTACTTACCTGGCACATGCTTTCCAGAGTGCAGGGATGTAGACTAGATGTAGCCTAACCTTATAGCTGCTATAACCAAGTAGCTTTCCATTTCTCTCCAGTAGCTTTCTGAAGTATCTTGATTTCATTCTTAGTTACCTTATGTATAGGAGCCTTACTTGGCTAGTTTTTCCACGAACAGCTCAACATAAAAAAAAAAAATCTAGCAGTGTAACTCACAGAGCAAGGCATCACATAGGAATTATGACTGGAATACTTTTTTTTTTTTTTTAGATGGGGCTTCCTTATATATGGAAAGCACTTTTTCCCTACCTCCCAGGGCTTACTCCCAGTCAGGCTGTATTTGAATGCTGTTTGTATCTTGCTACAAGACTGCCATGCTAAGCGGATCTTTTCCAAATGTTATAAATACAGCTTTAAGGTACAGGTGTTATCTATCTACCTGAGAAGATCTGTAATAAGATGAACTGCTGATAACTATTCTAGGAGGAAAAATATACACCAGCATAACTGACGTTTATCAGTATTCAGAATTCAAGCATTAAACAGGATTCAAATTGCACACCTCTACCACATCAAGTCTTTGATCATAAGAAAAAAAATAGACTGATTTTTCTCTATACATATCTCTTCTTTAAAGATATATGTGCTCCTATGTTCCTCATCCTGAATTCCACAGCAAGATTTCACATTCAGTGCATACAGCCTAGGCTATAACATCCTTATCTTCTGTCCCTTCTGCCAGTCCTGAAACTGAAGAATTTGCTTGTTTGGAGGTAGACAAATACTTCCAAACACTAGTCTTTTTGGAGAAGCCAGCTTGATCCCCTTGGGTGCCTGGATACCAACTTCTCTTCAGAGCGCTGCACTTTGCTTTGACATGTTCTTTGGGTCTTTACTTGGGACACACCAGTCATCTGCCTCTGAGGTAGCCTGGTAATGCTTGGAAACTGATTTGTTAAAAACTGGGAGTTTTTCTACTGATTCTGTTGATAGGGCCTAAAAATCAAGAAGGAAAAAAGTTACTTTGTTTCTACCTTTCAATAATGCCACTTCACAAAAATTCATGCAATGTATTTCAAGTAATAAGCCAGTGACACTACAAAACAAAGTTATCTACACAAATGTTTCTACAATAGACGCAGTAGTTTATGTGCTTCAGTATCTATGTTTGCTTTGCATAATTTGGCAGGATAAATGCAGTAACATCAAATCATATCTATGCCTTTTTATAGTCCTTAAGAGTTACTCTGTAACCTGTTTTCAAGATAGTCCTGGCAGCGGTAGAAAGGAACGTTGATTTACAAAATTCCAGAGAAACTTTAAAATATGTTCCTTTCCTACTTCCATATTTTTCAGATAAAAGAAAAAATCATATTCTATTTGGAAATTGTTAAATAGAAACGTAACATGTATATAGCTGAACCGTCTCTTCCTTTTGTACTGCTTCTCTGATTGTGCTTCAGTGTGCTCGGAACTATGTTTTTCATTTATTACAAGAAATTCAAGCAAATTTTTCCCATGAGTAAGCGAAAAAAGTAGAAAAGAATACGTAGTCCTTTTTTACAGGTTACTTATAAAAACAGCAGTGCATGTTATACGCCAGGTATTAAAGATTACTGATACCTGAATCCCATATATGGGCTATATGGCAGATGTTGAATAGGACCAGGTACTAGAGTCTTAAGGATTAGTTTATACAAACTTTCTGGTTGTCATGGTAAAGAAACAACAGTAAAGAAACCAGATCTGTTGCTCACATCTTTCCGTTTCTGATACTTCACTTTATCGCAGTATTTTGTATTCCATGAATCAGTAGATAACAAATCTTAATACAATCTAAAAACTAATGGGGCTGTCACTAGTAGTTATTCAAGTAGACCGGTTAAAGCCAAGTGACCTTTTTAATTCTAGATACCAGTTACAAATCTTACTGGTGTTTCTTAATAAAAATGAGAGCTTTTCTACTCATGAGCAGAGAATTTGTTTACCTTAAAATGATACCAAGTAGTTACCTCCCTGCATTAATGGTAGTTATCTTTTTTTTAAACAAATTAAAATACATACCTTCAAGTAGATAATAGCATCTGTTCCATAACCACATATGGAGTAGAGATTTAGGTCTCCTTGGAAGTATTTAGCATATAGACGAGAAATTGGCAAGCCGTACCCAAAGCCAGCCTAAAAATAAAGTACAAGACAAAATTAATTTATTTTTTTACTAGCTCTTATGACTTAAAATTAAATAGCTGGAAAGTGTTCAGAGATTTTAAACTTTTACAAAGTCCTCTGCACTTCCTCTTTTTCCTATTCATACAGGATATTGAAACTGACCTTTAAAATAACAAAAGCAAAAGAAAGAAAAAAACAAACCTCCATGAAGGAGGGAAGGTTTATATATACATCCTACTTTTATGCATTATATTTCTGTATTTTCCCTGACCTGTTTTAGCTAGTATAGCTTGATTAGTAAAAGTAGTTTGCTACTGGTAGATAAACAATAGTCCAATTCCAATCCAGTTGTGCTTGCCTCCATAAAGATAGCACAATTTATAGTAAGTTTGAGGACTGAGCGGGAATGAAGACCAAGTAAATTTACCAAGTAAAAAAAAAAATATTAGATTCACATTGGAATATTCTTCTTTGTTTATGCCCTAAGAGCATATTTTTTGTCCATTAAGCTAGATATTAAAAATCTGCTTCAGAAAGTGTTAATTTGTATTTATGAGGCTCAATAATCTCTGCATACCTCACAAAGCAGTATGGTGGACGTACATAGCATTTTGTAATTTGTTAACCTACCAATCTGTCCAACACTTATAGCAGCCTTATTAGTAACATGAGTATTGAAAATATCTTACAAGAGGGGTATTTCGACCATCATCCATCCTCGGCCTTGGTGCTGTGGAATACATGTAGCTGAAGAGCTGCTCAATTTTCCTTACTGGAACACCACCACCTCTGTCTGAAATCTGAGTTAAGAGAGATTAAAGTTAACTACAATCATTGACTAGGAATGGTATTTAAAATGCTGTTATTTGAACAAACTCTTCCAACACTAATAAATGCAAACATTTGTTTTGCAGTGTATTATTTTTCAATTAGGTAATTGTGCTAAATGGAAGCTATCAACAGAAGGTCTATGCATAGTATCTTTGATCTGTTGTCAGAGTCTGCAAGTTCTTCTAATAGGATCTGCTGCGGCATATGCAATGATAAAGATTACATTAAGCCCATCTTGTAGTAGGCCAACAAAATACCTTGATTGCCAGGTCTTCTTGCCCTAGAACAACTGTCACTTCAACCGGAGAAAGGGAAGGACTGTTTTCTTGGAATTCAACGGTTGCCCTCATTGAATTCTATGGAAATGAAGGTTACCATTATCAGAAACTGTTGGATCTGTGCACTTAAAATCATATCCCTGTTATGCAGAGGCTGAGCACAGTTACCCTGCATTCCTGTCAGTGACTAGCTTTCAAGGAACACACTTAGCAATTTAGTGTAACAGGAGCAGATGAGGTCTCACACTTAAAAGTGACTAAGCATAGCCAAGACTCTTTGCTTGAAAGATTACACTGTTCTTGCCCAACGTATAACTCAGCCAATGTAAAATAAACAACATAACTCCTTTAAAAGTCACCAGGTATCTGGAGAAGAGCAGAGTTCAGCAGTTGCTAAAGGCTGCCAGAATTCTGCACTCTATGTTGGCAGCACATGAGTGCAGAGCCATTCACTACTTCGAGATGTACCACCCACTCCACAGAAAAGGCACCAGGGCAAACGTGCACTGCAGATGTAATCTCTAAAAGCAGAAGGCTAGCGGTGGTCACAACCCCATGTCCCACTTTTACTTTCTCTCTCCCTTACCCTGTCCCATTTACCACCACACAAAAGTGTCCAAATACTCTCCTACAAACTGCAATCATTCCCTTCCCAACTGCCAAAGCTATTTCCCCAAATAATAAAATTTTAGAAATCTCACTATCCTGTGCAAAGCTTTAAAACCTCTAGCTGATCTGAATGAACTAAATACGGATGGTCCAGCTTGGACTACTAAGGGAAGAAACAGCTTATATTGACATACCTTAAAGAGCTCAAAAAGCATGTGAAAAAGATGAGATGGAACATATACGATGTTAATTGGCTCTCCTGGAAGTTTTCCTAGAGGAAGGGAAAGAGACAAGCAAGATTTAAAAGGGCAACAGAATCTTTCTGTATTGTATCCAAATTTTACTAAAAGCAAGTTATATGCCAGAACAAACAAGAAAATACATCAGGTCAAGTTTTGGTTTTTTCCCCCAAATGAGCAAAGAACTCTATGCACTCCTAACAGTGTTTAGAATGTAATTACCACTTGCTTAATACAAATAAACAAACAAAAAAATCAAGTATTAATTCCACTTTATAAGTAAAAGATTTTAGAAGTTAAGCAGATTGCCTGAGATCAGACATTTGCAGGCAGCTCGGACCAGAACCAGCATTTCAGTCAGTAGCCCCACTTCCTTGCCCCAGATACAGAGCTCCTTGCCAGCAACTTATCATGTTACCTTAAGTACAGGCTAGTCTTACTTCTCTTAAATTCCTAAGTATTACCTCAGGAAATGTAGTGTTTAAGATACAATGACATTTGAGTTCTAGCATGGGAGATTAAATGAGGTGCTTAAAATAGAAAACGGAGAGGAAGTAGCCCAAGACAGATCAACTGGTATCCACCATTATGGCTATAGAAATGGGAGCCTTTTGATTCAGTAAAAGCAGCAGTTTGGCTACTGATTGTAAGAGAGACATAAAAGCTCTCATCTTACCATTTACTTGAGTAAGTTTCAGTTCTGGAGATGTCAAATAATACTGGTCACACAACATCTTGGAACTTTCAAAAGCATCTGAAATATTTATTTAAATAAAATACAAGAAATGTAATGTCAAATACTGTAGAAATGCATGGTAAAATATGATTTTTAACTGCATTAGCTATTAAGGTGTTACAGACTCTAAGGCTGTATCTACTGTGTGCATTAAAAACTGAGAATAAATAGGCAATTACAGGAGCACAGGCAAATCTTCAGTGCAATTTGGTAATTCCGTAAAGCAGATGCATCTGTTATCTAACAGTGGGTAAGGCTGATTTCAACACCACAAACAACTTTAACTCCTACCTCATCTGTCACTTGCTAGGCCTTATTCCAACACACTTTTTACAGCTGCTTTGTCTTTTAAACTCTGTCCTACAAAAGCTTGTGTTTTGATAGACTGCTTTCAATTTTATTTCAATAAAAAACAGTCAGCATCCTATACAGCGCATGTTGGTTACCCAAATTACTTGCAAGCAAATATAAATACTGATTATGAAGAGAAATGTTAAGGAGCTGAGAATACATACCATTCACTACTTCAACAACATCACAGCAAGGATCAATACTTCCAATGTGCCTTGGGTGCCCTGAGCCGGATTTATCATCAAAAAGAAGGGCTGTTTGAGATGAAAACAATACTCTGTTCAATCCCAAATACTGTATTCTAGAAAAGCCTTTAAATTTAGACTAATACAGTGTGATCGCAGCCTAGAATCACATAAAATACTAAGGGTTGTTTATGCCTTTTGCAAGTTAAAAATGTTACCTATTGCCAGCAAACTATGTTGGCTTTTTCTGTAGTTCAACATCTAACGGCTTGTCAGATATAAAGAACAATATCCCTACATATTCCACACAACACTTATTACAATTAGTCTGCAGTCTAGAAAACAAGTTTTCCCATTACTTTGCTAAGTCATACATTCAGTTTCTAACTTTTCAGTGTCACACAAAATCATCTGGGGCAGATATCCCAACAGTTTTAAATGTTTGCATTAACACCCTTCTCATTAGGTTGAAGTTTTTCCCTCAGGTAAAAAATTCTACTTACTGTGTTGGTTCATTAGCATCCGGGTGGAAATACGGCTCATGTAAAAGCGATCCAAAAAGTACTGAATGTTTTGATTGGTGACAGGATCTACTTTAAAAGTATCTTTGTATTCTATTACTCCTTGTGCCATTGTAGGAACCACATCATGGTGTCTGTTTCGGACTCTAATTAATGTATCTATAAAGCTAGATCAAAAAAGAGATCTTTTTAGTATATTATTCTAAGACTACATAGAGGCAAGCTTTGTACAATGTCACTGTCTAACCCAGCTGCAGCACAGAAAACTGCAAAACAACCTTAATATTAAAATAGTCAATTTTTTCATTCTTTTTAAAGTAATTCCTCACTGACCTAAAAGAGCAGAGTTTGATATTTTTAATATAAAAGGTGTAATCATTAGCCATATCAAACTTGCTGCCTGTTTACTCATTCAAAATAGTTTCAGCAGAGAAGAATGCAGGGAGGTGAAAAGACCCCTAGCTGCTATCTTGGAAAGAAGGTAGTTTCTGCTGATACTTCTGCCATGACAATTCAAGGGATAGCATGCCCTCAAAACCAAGCTGCAACGGGTCATGTTTATTTGCAGTAATGCTAAACATGATCACAGACTTAAGCCAGCTTGCTTGTGCACAGCACTTCACCCTAGATTATCAAATTCAGCTCATGACAGCTGTCTTCCTAAACAGACTACATTGTGAAAAATGGAATGTGAAATCAAAAGCTCAATGAAACAAATTAAGAGCTTACTCAGATAAGACTTTTTGGTCATCTGGGCTTTTCTGATGGAACTCCACCAGCTCCATTAGGCTTTGGATGTACCTATTGAAAAAGAACACAAGAAATATATGCTATTAATTTGATTTTTTATTAGTCTAGCAACAGGAAAAATACTGTCTTGTTCAAATCATTACTCTTAACAAGTCAGCTAGAAGTTTGAAGTATCAAAGTTCCAGACACTTCTTGACTGACTGAATGCTAGACGTTTTAAAAGTCTTTTCTTGTGCCTGCCACCCAGAAAGGAATCTGAACCCTCACTTTAGGTACACAGGATGTCCTTACAATTCTTGAGAAGAGAGGCATTTCAAAAGAAGATCTAAATGACAATGCTGCTCAGGAAGCCACCTGAGCAAAATTCTTCCACATCTGATCATCTTTGGCATAAGCTAAGCACTTGAGCCTCTTTTGCTCACATCTGACAGCCTTGAAGCCTATTGCAAAGGCACAACTGTTAGCTAGATTAAGAACAGTTTCTGGATCTCACTCTAATATTTTTGCCCTTTATGTCAGCCATCCTTGCAAAAGTTGTAATTGTGCCAGTAAAGAAACGTTAAATCAGATTCAACCACTCTGTCAACCCCAGAGATTATGTTAACTTAATTCCAAACACTTGGTGTACAGGCCAAGGCAGTTTGCTATGGAAGAGAAGCTCTGTTAGCAATTCTATCAGTAAGAGATGCAAGCAAGTATATAGCCTGCTCTTCCATTTTTGGGTAGCTCTGAGGGTCTGTAATGCTACCTGAAAACAGAATACGTTTTCTTCTCTCCCTTCTTAAAAAGTAAGAAGTAAGATTTGCTCTACCAGCTATTTCAAACTGTTAGTTCAGAAAAAAAAAAGTTTAAAAATAATATAAATTGTTTTTCAATTTAATTTTAGTATGCTAGAAAAAGACAGTGTATAACAGCTTGCAGTTCAGCTTTGATGAAGAAACTGCATTTCTGGTGTATTTTGTTACTGTCTTCTATTTAAAAAAGTCTATGACAACCAAGTTGTCAAAGCTATGTTATTGTAGAGGCTGAATTCAAGTAGTTCTTACTTACCAGCTTTTTACTAATTGTACTGATGGAGTGCCTAGTAATTTATCAGGAAGAAGATCAATTTCTCTCAGTATGTTTGCAAACCTCACCGGAAGTTCTTGTCGCAAAAATGCAAAAGAAGTTCTCTCACATCCATTAGTTGAGCCTATGAATAAATTCAAAATAAATATTTAGTAAAAAAACCAAGTACAATTCACTGCCTTTCCACAGCCTTCAGGACTATACTGTTTTGCAACCAGCATGCTATTACTGGCCAGTTCTCCTAACTGTATGTTTGTGCTGAATGTTGTTTATAAGATAGCAAGACACAGCATGTTCCTGCGAGGAATACTTGTACATTTCCCATTTAGACACGGGACTTATTTGTAATCCTCCAGAAGAAGCACTCCAGCTTTAGTAAACACGGGCTTCTTCAGGGTGACGTCTGAAAATGTCATGTGAGCACAAACTTCGCGGCTGCCAAAGAGGTAATCGGATCTGGGTACAGTTTGTTCACTCCATCAGCACAAGACTAATGACTCCTCCCCGATAACGTGTACCTCAGACACGAAAACACCCATTAGCTCATTTAACTCTTAGCACAACCCCCCCATCCCATTAACACCGCCGAAGCAGAGCTTGTAGCGTGTCTTCAGCGCTGACCGAGGCAGTCACAGGTCACCGTCGCCTGGCAACCGGCCGGCGGGTCGCCCGAGGCGACCTCCCCACCGTCACCACCCCCGAGGCCGGCACGGCCCCCAGCAGGGCTC